TCCATCAAAATCTAAAAATAGATAATACATACAAAAGAATTTTATTTATCAAAGTACTTTTAAAATAAATAATCAAGGACTTCACACACTACTGTAATCATTTTCATTAATGTAATTTGTAATTTTCTGTATATAAATATGGATCATTTAATAGAAATCTTTCTGAAATGAATTAAAAATATCTCTGCCTTATTAAAAGGCATGTAGGTGACAATATTTAACATTTTCTTATGGACTGTTATTATTATGAACATCACATATGTAGAACTTGGAGGTTTCTGATTCTCTGATATTATCATGTCTAATGATATTTCCACTTTTATCCTGTGATGAATCCCTTCTTTTCTAGTCTACATACATATGTGACCCAGAAATAACTAAATGGTGATTCAAAAATTGGGTACTCATAGTGGCTCTATCATCTTACCACTTTTCCTATGAGAATATTTTTATCCAGAAAAGTACTTGTAAGCACCTAGCACAAAGTTCCAACCTCTAAAGTATTTATTTCATGTTTTTCTAAAATAAGTAAGTACATGAAGACAGCAAGCAAATAAATAAGTAACTTTGGGTGATAGACACAGTGGTAGAATAAAACTGTGAAACTTCAGCAGGACAAAATCTTCCAGGGAACTACAAGAAGTGAGCATTTTGTAACTACAGATTTTGCATGCAGAGGAAATAACATTTTCTATAACTAGAGCATATCTAATAATATAACTGAATTAACTGAGAGAAAACTTATCAAATGTATATTGGAAGCACACCTGAACACATGGTACATTCTAAAAGTGCCCATTATATTGACTTTCAGCATCTTTAAGCATTTTCATTACTTCTTAACTACAAATCAGAATGAGATTTTTGCAAAGGCCAATCAAAGGAGGCACGCAGTCAGAGTAGTCAATTTTGACACTGTCATCAGTTTTTATGTGAAATGTACTTGTATATTTCTAGATATTTCTTTGCTTTTTATTTCCTTGCTTGTATTTTACTGTTAGCTACTCCCCATGAATGATAATGGTTTCATTAAGGTAAACAAGAAATTCCTCCAAGGGTTCCTGCTGGTTCTGCAACATCCTGAACCAGTGTTTTACCTCCACTAACATTTTTTTTTTAAATACTACCTCATATTTCTGCAAAAAAGACAACTATCAAAAAATAGAAACTTATTCTACATCTCTTTAAAAGTTGTCTTGCCATTGGAATGACAATAAGTTATTTCAGTGCTTCTGCTACTAATTTAGCATTTGGGGCAAATTAACTAGTGGGCAAACATTCAATTTGGTGGCTAATGAGAAATCAGCTTTAAAGCAACTCCTGAAGGAAAACTTAAAAAAGAACAACCAAATTTTTGTTTTTGGGTTTTCTCTTCTCATGGCATAACAACAATATTCACTTAATATCCCATTCAACCTAATATCTGTATTCTATAACCTCCACAAATTTCATAGGAAACAAGTACTTAATTTTAAATTAAGAGATTCCCTTAACTTGCTCTGCTTTTTCTGTTTTCTATGGCATTTTTAATGTGTTAGTATTCTAGATGATTTATTCATTTAATTTACTTATTTGATATTATTTGTCTATACACACACACAAATGAAGGCAAGAACCATGTTCACTAACGTATCCAAGCATCTTGGCATATTACAGATGCTCAATATATATTTGTTGAATGAATAAATGAATTAAGCAAGTAATCAAAATTTCTTGCCATTTTTCATTTCAAAGTGAAATTACATGGAGCGTTACAAGTTATTAATTTCTCGAAGGCTGTATATTATGTAAATGTGAGTTCACAATTTAAAGGATCGAATATCTAGATGATCATATAAGTCCATGTAGGCACAACCTATATAAAGGATTTTTCCTAGGTCTTAGCTAAATATGCAAAATAAATCTGATATACTTATATGGCAACATCCACATCTTGAAGATGTTTATTTTATTATCTTAATTTAACCTAGGCAAGAGTAGTGGAAATTATTGAAATCTCAACAATACTATTGAGGGAGATATATGTTATGGGAATGTGGTAGTTTTAGGTCTAGTATTAGTTTCAGGCGACAAGTTGTTCATTCTCAATACGTTATCTGACTCAGGAGCTAACAAGGCGAGGAAATTATTTTAAAAGGGAAGATGAAACCTGAGACCCATTGCATGTCTCCAACCCAAATGAGACTCTTCGGTTGGTCTCCTATTTTAGCAGATTTTCATGGCTTCGCTTTTTAAAATGAACTTAGTTCAATACATTTAACCAAAATCTCCTTGGGTTTCTATAGATGTATCCCTATTTATAGCTCCAAATGCTGGCGTGTTCAGATTTTCAAATGCTGAAGAACTATGTCTTATCAAAAAGCAATAAAAATTCATTGAAAAGTACTTAAACATACAAGTTTTGAGACTCTATCTTTAAGGACTTTGAAAAAGAACACAGAAATAATATGAAGAAATAGTTTCAATCTGGATTTATTTTAATCTGCTTATTTCATATGAGAATAAGTAATCTTGCTATATCTGCTTATGTTAAATGGTGCAAAACAATCAGCCAGCATGATTGTGAGCATATGCAAATAAGAATACCTGCTGAAAAATTACAAATGGGTTATGAGTCAAGAGCTAATTATGGTGAGGGAAGGAACAAACAAATAAAACAAATAAAAATCCCACACCCAAGAAAACACAAATAGGCCGGATGTGGCAGCTCATGCCTGTAATCCCAGCACTTTGGTAGGCTGAAGTGAGAAGATCTCTTCAGCTAAGGATTTTGAGACCAGCCTGGGTAACACAGTGAGACCTCATCTCTACTAAATTAATGATATTAAAATTAGTGGGACATGGTGGTGTGCGCCTGCAGTGTGAGCTACTCGGGAGGCTGAGGTGGGAGGATTGCTTGAGCCTAGGGAGTTTAAGCCTACAGTGAGTAAGACCCTGTCTCAAAAAGTAAGAAAAAAAAAAAAGTAAACACAAATAAAGATGAAGTAATGTTTACTTATCAGAGGTTATATTCTGTAATGTCAGCCCTGTACTGAGAATATCTCATTCTCAATTTCCTCCTCTACATGAGAAATTTCCATTAGATAAAATGATTTCAGTTTAAAAGGAAAAGGGGTGTCCCATTTTACAAGGTTCAGTATGTAAAACAAAGCAACAGGAAAAGCGTGCAGGGCACCAGAGTTTGACCTGTTTACCACTCTGACTTTCGTTCCTACCACCCCATATGCCTCTTAATAACTGTCATTAAAACCTTTAGATACATTTTGCAAGTTTCTGGAAGGAATGAAGTGAATAGACTGCTCTAATTCTGAACATTTTTATTCTCTATGAGATGCCACAGTATAGCTATTGATCATCAATTTAAGGTTTATTCTCTTTCTTCATACCATATATAATTTTCTTATCATTCTTGTGAATGTAATACTTTCAGGGTATATATCAGACATAAAGAACAGCAATTTTGTACTTAACTTTCTCAAAGATAGATATCATACTTCAAGATAATAAGTCAGAAAAGTATTGCATTTTCACAACTTAGCAGTCAAAGCATATTTGCTTGTAACTTTTAAAACAGAAAATAAAAGAGACAGAATAAAAACTTCTCTGTCATTGGCTTGATATATAATTCTAAGAGTTCATTTAGTTTTAAATTCTCATTTTAATATGAAATCAAGTGGTCAATGAGTATTAAATTCTTTCTAATGTATCTTTAGCAAATTTTTTAAATGAATCTTAACTAACATTCAGAATAAACTTGAGATTCAAAATACTTCTCACGAGCATTCTCTCATCAAAGGAAGTTTACTTGGTGTTCTTAAATTAACACCAAAAACAGGAGGTGGTTAAGAAATGGGGCTAGAATGACAATAAGCATAAATATAAAATTGTTAAACAATTGGAAAATCTTCTATCTACCTGCAGTAACACACAGAATTTAGCTGTGTATACTGCCACCTATTATTCACTGAAATGTAACACAGTCTTCTTAGATAAAAGAACATTCACAAATATTCCTGAATGCAATGAAATTCTGCATGGACAGTGTGAACATCAACAATTTAAGACAAAAGCACCATATCAAATAGAGGTCCTTAAATATCATGGCATTTATCTTTCTAATTAATTTTTAAAATTAAATAAAACTTTAAGATTTATTACATTTATGCTTTTATCATGTAAAATTCTTCTTTGCATACAACAGATCTGATTTTAAAACAGAGAAATAATTAGGAGTTATTGTTATAGTCCTCAACTTAATAATCAGTCAGATCTCAGGCTCCCAAGCATACCCTTATTTTAAACATAAAAACATTCTATCAGTTATGAGAATGTCAGCTAACCCCAAACTAGTAATTTGAAAAAGAAAAAGAAACATTTTTACTTAGAGAAGCATTTGTTTTAAAATTATAAATGAATTTTCCCATCTCAACCTAGCCTATTTCTGATATATTGTTAAAAAGAATAATGATAAAGATCAGTAGACTTTTAAAATAAACAAACCAGGTGTTCTGGGTTAAATATTTACTCATTGTTTGCCTTTCTAAGATAAACATAATATTATTTTAATTCTAGGAAAAAATATAATTAATCAGATAAGAACCAATATACTAAAACAAATAAAGACATAAAAAACCTTTAGGAAAATTCCAATGTGAATTGCAATAAGAAATAAATAACTATCAAAAACATCAGTAACTTAGATTTTCAATGAGAATAGAATTTCTCAGTGCTATATATGCATGTTAGAAATAACATACCTCAGGATTCCAAAAAATACTGTCTACTTGGGCCCTGAAAACCAGCTTACAATTTGATATCTTTCCAACTGAAATAAGCCTCCTTCCAGAGTGTCTTGAATTTTAACACCAAAAATCGGGTTTTTAAAAATCCTCTTAATGAGGAATATCAATCCTACTTACCCACTCTTTCTACTCCAATGTCAAGAGAGACTTACATTTTAATAATAGACATGTCCAAAATTGTTGGACAAGCCTCAAGCCTCAGTTTCCCCTTCCAGCATCTTCATCTGTTGCTACTATCAGTGGTTTCACATGATTAGGCTACCTAGGTGTATCTCCCAAAAGAAGGTCACTTTCCATTTAGTGTCTTGCATCATGGAAAGAACTTCCCATTTCTGCTGTCCTTCAGAAACTTCTGTTTTGTTTTGCTTTGTTTTGTTTTTTGCCTTAGGGAGTAGACCTGAAAGGTACAATGTTAAGCTCGGTTTTAAAACACATATCTGAGTTATATAAATATTCAGTACTCTGTAGATTTAGTTATCTCATAGTTTTATATTTTTAGTGAATGCTTACACTCATCTGGAATTCATATTTGTATATTGTATAAAACGAAAAAACTAAACTTTCCTTTTCACAACGGTTGTGAAAGTTCTCCATTTTAATCCAAGTATACTCCATGTGTAGTGTCATCTGATTTTGTGTGATAATGTCTGTTTCACAGATCTGTTTCTACTTTATTATGACAAAAACAAAGGTCTAACTACAGTGCCATTTTTCCCTCGTATGTGAGCACACGTGTTCACGTGCATGTGCTTTACATTTCCACTTAAATTCTTGCATTCTGGACAACCATCCTCTGCTTTATTAGCTGGCCAAAATACAGAGTTAAGTATTTACAAATTCCATAATATCTAAATGACAAACATTATGAGTGTGTCAGTTATGGAATAAAGAAGACTGGGGCTAGCCATCAACCCAAGAGAAGAAAAAATATATAGACCATGGTGACCAACAAAACATATTTGAATTGAAATATCTTCATTTCAGGGGGTTGAAGAGCAGAGAAATTAGAAGCTAAACAGGGTCCCCTCTGGCTTGAAAATCAAGATGTTTTGAATCTAACAGGTCAATCAACCTTTCTTTTTAACTTAGCCCTGCAACATACTTCAAAATTAAAGTACCTCCTGATTCTACCTAGGGCAGCAAATGTTTTTCTGTCTAAGCCATTTCTTCTCTTAACATCTAACATTCTCATCTCAGGGGTTTCCTATTAGTATGACATCATGACTTTATAAAATAAACAAAACAATTCAGAATACTGGCCATTGTACTTACTCTATACATATTTATATATTCAATAAAGTATTATGAAATGAGAAGAAAATCCAATAACAAAAGAAAATCATAAGAAGAGATATCACGTTTGAGTAGCGGCAGTTTGGAGAAATGCACTGTGTTAATTGGGAGACATCAAGTATTGTAACAGACTTGTGATTAGGTATGGTAAATTTTTCATTTTAGGTAAGTTTTTTAAAAAATAACTAATTTTAAAAGACTTGTTACAAATGCGGATTATTAAAAACATAGCTTGTGATATTGAGTATAATATCTTAGAAATATATTTTAAAATTTAAAACAGAAAGTTAAAAAGTCAAGCATTCATTCATCCAGTCAGCACAACTTCATTAAGTACTAGTTATACAGCCAACAAATCCGTCCAAAACTGTGAACAACTGAATGATTGTCAGGTTCCTTGGGCTTAAACAATACTTTTACTGCTTGTATTGTCCACCAAAATGTAAATATGTTATTGTTAAATTAGATACTTGGTTAGGTAGTCTGACTAGGTATGGTTAAAAAAAAAAGTTTTGAGAAAGTCAGCAATCAGCACTTTGCTATTAAATTAAACCAGCAGCCAAGGTTCTCAAATATATATGCTAATGAACAAGCAACAATATTAGGCTTTATCATAACTCTAAGACTGAACATTGGCTATTAGCCCAAGACATACCAAAAGCATTTCTCAGGTGTGAATGCTGAATAAGGATCTCATGCATTTCTATTGACATCAAATTGGCCAAGTTGCTGGTGGAGATGGGGAAAACATAAATCAAGTGAAACAAAATTGAGGACTGCTGGAATTATGCATTTAAGCAAGTAGGTCCAAATTCAGAATATTGGCCCATAATTTAAAACATTCATTTGCTGTTTCTATGATCTTTATAGAAAAGTGTTTTACTATCCCTGCCTTCATTTCTTTACTGTTCAAATCCCTCTAACCCTCTCCAGATATTTCTTTCTACCAATCTGCCCTACTGTTGCCCTTAAAATCATAACAAAAGCTGTCCTTCTCTAGAAATCTTTGCTTGATTTATTTTATTCAAGTATTTTCTTTTTTCTCCATGTCTTTAGTACTCATAGGCATTATATGTTTTAATATTTTTCATACTGTTAAGGAAGTTATTTAAATATACATATATATATATACACACACACATTCCTTTATCAAATTGATTACAAAATCAAGGATTATGAAATCCTTGAGAAACATGTATCATAATTTACATTTATTTTCCATTCTCTCACTATTCCTATGGCTAGGCTCCAATGCAGCACCAATGCATGTTTTTGAGAGATTTTGCTTCTCAAATTGTAATAATTGCTAAAGAAAACATTAATAAAAGCAATCATAGGTGGAAAGTAGCAAGAAGGAGAATGCTGAAAAGAAAGTTCAAATACAATTGAGGCTTAAGGCTCAGAATTGAATATTCTAATGATTTCATTTTATTTTAGGAGGTTTATTTTTCACCAATTTGTTTTTAATTTTGAGAATTTCAGCACTCATTGGCATGAATAGAGTAGAAGGTATTAAGATGTTACACTAAAGAATTGGAAAAAAACTAAATGACTATCAAATTAGAGCCCTTTAATCATAAAACTTTAACAAATATTTAAATAAGAAAACTTTTAAAATAAATGAGCTATCTGGTTATCAAAATACTTTTTATAATATATCCACCTATCAGTTTTATTATATAAATTTTAACTTACAGAAAATGTAAGTTTATCTAAAAGAAAGCAAATAAAATTGCTATATGGTTATAGGAAAAGCTTATAGTTGACTTTTACATTTTTGAAGCTTAACTAAAATTTAGTTAATTGTCTTCTTCATTTATCATTTGCATCTATTTTTCAAAATCATATTGCAATTTCCTTCAAAATAGGGACATGGTAAATTTTTGGTACCTGCTTAGTAAATAATACATATTTGATTAAGGAAATAAAACCCCCAAGAAAAATTTTCAACAAGTATCTATTTATAGACTACCTCATTCAAAACATCTTACCATACAAATAGTTAACATTTACTGAGAATCAACTATAGAATAAGAATTTTATCTATAACATTTCGGTTGAAGCTTCAAAATAACAAGGTCAATATATCATCATAGTTTAATAAATGTTTCAAATGTTTGACACACTTAATAGAGCTTCAAAGTAATTTGTCCAAGTTCAAATATTTCAAAAAGCAGAATATGAACCCAAATTTGGTTTAATTCTCAAGATTATGTTCTTCACAAATTTACCGTATCATCTACTGTCATAGTTGGGTACTGTCAGAAATGAGTAAAAGTGATGTACAACCTACCCTATAGAGTCCACATTACATATACTCTGAATTACTGATTATATTTCTAAACTAAACATAATCTTTTTTCTTCTGTCAGTTCTTAGAGCAAAATATTAATACAAATTCTACTTACAGTAGTAAATATGCTCCTGCAATCATCTTTGTTTGATTATGTCTTTAGAAATTTAAAGATACTTTTATGTTCTTATCCATTTTTCTCCTTGAAGGAATAAATTTAATTGTTTAATTTTGAAAAATGTATAATTAAAGCCATTTTTAAGCAACACTGAAGAAGAAATTAGCATGAAGTGATACTTGAAATTCATTTAACGAAACACATATCCCCTTTTAAAGATGGATTCAGAAATGTGTACTAAATAAACACCAATATCTGCACCATGTAAACTGGGTACATTTCTTGATTTTTCTTTGCTTTCAATCTTTGACGAGTTAAGAGAACATGATATACTTTTGGGATCATTGATCAGCGTTCTTTAGGAATGAATGAAGCACAGGTGCCTTTCTTTTGAACCTGTTTCATCAGTTTTCTTGTTCCTTAGTTAAAATCCATGATTTCCACATTGGGTACTTCTCCACAAGAAAGAGATGGCTGCTTATAATATCACTCTCTTGTAAGAAAACATATTCAAGCTTTGTTTCATTGATAAAAATTCTTAAAAAAAAGAACCCTCAAACATGTTTATGGATTCCTCCACCACCCAACTCAGTGTTGTACTAGCCAATTTGACTAGGATAAAATCAGCATTTCTGTCTGTCCAAAATCTTGATTAACTCTACTTCTAAGATAATTTGAGTTTTTTGTTTGTTTTATCTCCTAAGTAAATTAAATTCAGATAGACTGAAGAAAGCCCATGGGTAATAAAATGAGCCTGTATAAGCAGCAAAAGATCTGGATTTGAATTCTATAATAATCTGGTGAGTTACTTAAAATTCTGAACATCTTATTAGCCTTAATTATAATGTTGGGATAATGAAACCTATATAGATGGGGAATATCAAAATATAACTTATGTAATAATTCTAGGTACACACTAATCTGTTTAAAAACCATTAGTAACTTTCACCTAAAAAGAATAGATGAAATTTGCAATAAAATAGAACAATAAAGTACAGCATTTGCCAAGCCCACTTAAATAAGATATCATGGAAATAAAGTTTCTTATACAGTTATACTAACCACACAGGGAAACTAAGAGAAATATTTTTTAATTGAATTATCTGTTTTACTGTTTGTTCTGATTTACTATGTTAATTCTAATGTAATTCTAATTATTAATGTAATTCTCAAGCTGTGTTATATTCTTTTGATAATGTCTTTCTCCAATAATTCTTTAAAACTCTTCAGAATATAGTTCTATGATTTGCAACCCTAATCACAATTTGAGTAATCTTATTCTGTATTTTCAAAATCAAGGGATTTCTTTTTAAGAAAATCGTTTACACTTCCCAGACAAACAGTAATACATTCTGGTTTTGTATCACTATCAAATAAGTAAAACCACTGGGTAAGGAAAAAAAACAATTTTTTCTTGACAACTTCTCTCTTACTCATATGAACTCAATTGGGTCTCACAACTAATTTTTCAAATTGTTATATATTGACCTCCATATTTGAAGCTTCATTTTTCTGCCTCTGGGCCACATCAGTAAAACCCACACATCTCCCCATTAAGCAAAGCAGCTGGCTTTTTAAATGTGATACCTTATAATTCTTCTTTACAATCCTAAACACATCATTGATTTCAGTAAAAGTAGTTATTAATGCTGTCAAAAGCAGAAACAGGGATTCAATGACTTTTTTTCTGTTCTTCCTTTTTTTATAAACTTGGATAATTAAGATTAAGCCTAATAATGTGACTTTAGAGGCCTCTGGGTGATTAGCAGTTTCCTGTGGTTGAGGATGAAACACAGCACAGATACTGCCTTCACTTAAAATTCAACATACCTCCCAAAAAACAGCCACTTATACAAACCACAAATGGTTAAATAAAAATGTTAGGCATAGTCAATAATCATAACACAAAGGAAACTAGATTTTTGTGTTTTTCAGACTCAAAACACAAACAGCACATAAAATTTTATTTGATTGATTTTTTTTTCTGTAATTTAAGACAACCCATAGGGTAAATTTTGTCTATTAAGGCTAGAAAACTAAGGTGCCTGACCTTTTTGCTAACCCAGGTATGTTTCCAATGCTGTAAAGAAAAAAACAATGATCTGAAAAAGACAGGATGAAACAAATATGAAGATGTTAATAAACATTTTGGAGAAATAAGATTTTTTAATATCCAAAGCAATGGAAGAAAAGGGTAAGAAGAGATAATGTATTTTGATTTTTAGGAAAAGAAGTCATGAGGCAATAAAGACTGTCATTTTGAATGAGATCTATTTATTTGCATTCTGAAGGATGGTATGGAACAAACAGAAGTTTGCAAAGGACTATTTACTATCAAAAGACACAATATGCGAAGAATCTGACAAGAATGCATGTTCAATGTTTGTCATCAACCCACCTCCCCAAAACCCAAAGAAAATATATGCATATATATGTATATGTACACACACACACACACACACACACACACCCACCCTTGGAATCAGCATCACAAACCAGTGCCCAATTGAAAAACATTCCCGGACCTCTTATTGATCAATTTCCCTTATAGAAAGAAGCAGAGTATAGTATCTGAACTGAAACATTATTATTAGAAAATGATATTGTGAGCATTAGGATGTATAATTCATGTTGCTTTCATTTGCTTGGACCATTGTAAAAATCCATAAATCATTTTTTGTTCATGTATTGCTTAAGTGCAATTTGTCATTTTGCATTAGAGGGTGGCTTCAGCTCATTCAGTGCTTTTAATTCACTGTTTAGAGTTTAACAAAATGCTGGCCCTGTTTGATAACTGAAAAGGCACTGAAATGTGAAGCCACACCAATATTAACTAGGTTAAAGAAAATGGAGAAGCACATTTCTGCTTTAAATATCAAGATAATGGTGCTTGATGGCATACCTAGTATTTTTAGTCCCAAGAACAAGGATTGGAGTGTTCTCTAAGGGGTTTGAAGGATTAAAACACAGTAACTAAAGAGTTACCTAAATACTTAAAATAGCATGTGCTATGAATCTTTTCCAGAAATTCTAGTCAACATTCACTTTTTCCTATAGATGAGCAAAAACTAACACAATGTCTGTGGCTTTGGCTCTAAAGCCTTGCCTTCCCACCTCTTAAGTTAGGTTACACTACCACAGATAAACCTATTTCATGCTTACCCATAAAAGATGCAATGCACTTTAGGCCTTTTGTATTTGCTCTCGGTGCTGTGCTTGCCGGGAATGACAAGTGCCAGGAACAACCATCTAGTTCAATCCTGGTGGAGCCTGGTTATTGATAAATTAATTTTTTCTTCCAATTCTAAAAAAAAAAAAAAAAAAACTTCCTTCAAAGCTCTAGGCACACAGCAATAATAAGAGGATTTAGAAACAAATTGCTTTCGAGTCATGTTAAATCACTGCAAACACTCGTTTATCCAAAGGCTGGTTAACAAACTTGTTTCTGCCCCACCCTTTGCGGCAAAGGGCAGAGAAGACAGCAACCCCTTAACCCAGTTTCAAAGTTTGTAAAACACACCTGTGGGATCCTTAGCGCCCCCTATTTCTGCTACACTTAAAGCCCAATGAAATAAAAAATATGCACTATCACTGTAATATATAAACCAGGACTTTTATGAAAATTGATTTTGATAACCTGCCTCCAAATAATACAACTGCTTTTCCCCTCTTTCTTAGGGTGTCGTTTGTCCTGGCTCAAACAGTTTGTACTTCTGCAGGGTAGATGGGGCAGGGTGAAGAATGGAGGGTTATGTACACTAGATTTCCTCCTCCTTTTCCGTTCCAGTAATGGGGGGATTCAGGAACACAGAATATACATGACACTTTAAAGACGTAGTCAGCTTCATTACTGAGGCTGCCGTATATGTAAGCATCACCTCACTAAATTCTGGGGTCCACGGGAGTAAAAATGAAAAAGAAAAATGCAGGGATCTGCTTGATTGACACAGCAAAGGAAAAAGTAAACCTGTTACATTTAAGAGGCATTTTAAAAGGCAAATTTAAAGTGTTGTTTGTTTTCTGGGTGACGGGGTGCGGTTGTTTTAATGGCTCTAGGGAAGGAGACACAGAACGCTATTAATGACAATATTTGATCTTGGCTCCAAACAAAATGCTCTTGGAATTGCCCTTGGCTGGAGCTATCTAACGGGAGGCGGAGGACGAGGCTCTGTTCTGTTCTGCCGGGAAGAAGACCCCACAGTCGCCCCGTCGGTCCCTGGCTGGCGCCACCGAGACTAGAAGCCGGAGAGGCGAGACCTCTAGGGGGGTCTGGGCTCAGCGATGCTGGTGCGGACACAGACCCTTGTGACCCAAGAAATCCCGTAGAGCCCCCAAAAGGCGAGCTCTGCCCAACAAGGGCTCCAAAGCAAAATTCTCTGGCCTGCCCTATGCTGATTTCGCCACTAGGAGACGCCTGTAACCCACGTTTGCGGAGAGAGTTCCATTCAAACACATTTGCCACCAAAAAAAAAAAAAAAAAAAAAAAAACAACGCAGCTCAAGCTCAAGTGTTACAGTGGATGTAGTGATTATTTACAGGCAAATCTGGCCATCTCTCCATGTTTTCATCTCCACCTCTGGAAGCACTCTGGCTTTCAGTATACGACCCAAGTCAGCTCAAACTTCATCTACATTTCGGGGGCAGAAACCCTCTTCCCCAGTTTCTGGATCTGCATTGTCATTCAGCTACACGTCTCTCACATGCAAACACGCGCTCACTCGCGCGCACACACACAAGTGTTTCCATGCGTACAAATGAACACATTAGAAAATTACCGTCATTTTTTAAAAGGCTCCAGGATTCTGACGAGTCAGCTTGAAGACCTCAAAACATTTCATTTCCTGCAGATCTGAAGGAAAAGAAAGGGGGGAGGGGTGGGAAGCACAGATGCAATACCGTATTAATATTCAGATACACTATAGTCTCCTTTTCATTGATCCACAGGTCCCTTTATACACTGCCGCTCCATTCTCAGCCGCAGACGTGATGCTAAAATCATTTTAACTGCAGCGGTTTTCGCTTGGCTTTGGCCAGTCTTCAATTTACTGCAGCTGGTAAAGGATTAGCCATTTTTGCTGCCATCCTTTCCTTCTAAGCGCTCAAAGGCAGGACCCATCTTCATGAAAGAGCCAAGTGCGGGGGCCAGGGGGACGGGTCGTTGGCTGCGGTGGAAGTGCAGAAAGCAGGGCAGTAGACGTGCATATGCGGGACTCTCAGAAGCATGTCTCCGGCTACAATCACGCCCATGGACACTTGCCCTCCTCAATTCCCTGCCAGAAGGGAATGGCAACGTACCTCTGGGTCAGGAAAAGGACTCTACTTTTCCCGCAGGTTGTGGTGGTGATATTCTCGGATCATTCATTACCAGAAAGCAGCAAAAGACCTTCCTATCTCTTTGCATAAGAAGAAGATTGAATAGGGGCTTCTGTAGTGAATAAACAACCAATTCCTTACTAGTAGCCCGTTAATTTA